ATCTTCTGCGTATTCGTAATCCTGATGCAACCAATATGGGTTGAAAGTAAAACGATTATCCTTATTGCCCCAGGGTATTTTTTTAAGCCAAGGAAAAGTTTGTTCTTGTGATTTACATAGATCCCTAATATCTTGCATTGAAAAATCGCAAGATCGAAGGTATTTTAGAAAGTATATTCTTAGTGAATGTATCCTCGGCCAGTTCAACATCATGTGGTTATTGATATCATGTATAATTTTGACCATGTGATTAGCTATGGGCACCATAGGGGAAATGCGCACTTGTTGTTTCAGGGTGGTCATGTTTGCATCGCATATAATACGCACGTATTCTTTCAAGAAAGCAATAGCAGATATAGTTTGTAATGGTTCCATATTATTGTTATACAGTGAATCAACGGCGCTAGAAAAATTATCATGCAATTCAGTTAAATTATACTGCATGAAAAATGTTTTTTGAATGATATCACATGACAATGCTGCTATTGGCGAGTCCGGATCATTTTTTTTAATATATCATTGATAAATTTCAGATACGGTAAACTTTCAAAAGCTTCATGCGGAGTTTTGAGTAAGTCAAAAAATACATTTTGATGCTTTTCTTCTTTATACTTTTCATATTCTGCGAGGAAAATATGCCGTATAACGGGACTTGCAAGAATAAAAGGGTTATGTTCAAAAAGTAGTTCATAAAAATGTTGACGAATTGTAGGAGTGAGTGATGTAATACCAAGACAACGATTTACAAACAACATTCGCGCATGTTTCAAATTATTGAATCTGAGACTTTCCAAAATTTCATTAACAAACTGTTCAGATAAAGTGTTCTCCATACCACGTTGTTTAATTAATTTAATAGCCTGTCTGAACGATGATGAAGTTGATTCTCTATTAAAAATTGTAATGTCGTTACAAATGCATAATAATTGTAATGATGGCAAAGCAACCAGTTTTGGTATTTTGGCACTAATTAATAATAGCTTAGCAACTTCGTGTTGCCAATTTTCTAAATCGTCTTTAATATTTATGTCTGAGAGGGTAACCCAATTTATAATATATCGTTCAATTTTTTGTGGAATTTTTCAATATTTTTGTCATTCTTCTCCTGGAATTCTATTACTATCAAGCAAGCTATTTCTTTATATTTAATACAAATTCTATCCATCATTGTACGTGGGAAAATATTTGATACTTTATATGCAATTTCTAATAATTCTTCCTGAAAATAATGTTCAAGGTCTGTGTTATTAAACACCTTTTTATTATTTACCGGGAAATTAGTGTCAAGATTCCTTTTAAGCAGCATTTCAGCACGTTCGAGAAATGCTTCAGCTTTCTTTTCCCAAGCATTACTATTATTTACCATTAACTCTTCCCAAATCGAATTTGATAATTGCATATGCAAATTTTCTGGAAATGTTTAGGGATGGGGAAGTTTCTAAAAAACCAGTTTAAACTTGGTTTAAGGGGTCAGTTTTTTTAAAACCAAGTTTAGGTTTTTAAAACTATTTGAACTAGTTTTAATACAGTTTATATATAAATTATAAATATTGCATTTTTTATATACTCCTTACATATTTTGTA